TGTACCACAACATTTGTGGGTTGACACACAAGAGACTAGGGCATGGCAAATCATAGACTTGGTATTAGAGCTAAAAACAGGATCGAGACGGCGGGGACTGGAGCTAGTTGGCTGACGGTAGATATGTTGTACCAGAGGTCGAATGAAATAGTTGAACGAGGGAGAGAGCAGATGGATTTTACGAAGCAAGAGAGACTGGGATAAAGCTAGAGAAGAGGACAGCAGACTCTTATCATAATTCCCTGCACAAGGATGAAGGGGGAGGTGAGAACGAAAGTTGGAGTGTGAAGGTGTCATGTCGCTCAAAGGAGCACAGCACACTATATCTAAATTAACAGGATACAAATTGTAATAGTAAAGGTATGAAAGGATAATGTAGGAAACTCTAATAACCCCGGACAGAAGGGAAGATACCACAATTGTTTAGCACATGTTTGGTCAAAGGATCGGCTTCACTTGTCTCTTTGACGAGTTGTGTTGTGCTAAGAATGGCGATATTCACTGACGATGCCGGCGAAACGTCTGGGAATATACCACGTCCACGGTCCGACTTTGGAAGTAATGATGCATACAATGGACTCCGGACTTGGTGCGTTCCGCTAAGTCTTCCTACCAAAATGACCATGTTGCGAAAACAAGGTCAAACAACCTCTAAACAACCTCTAAAGAAAAATTGGTTTCAACGATAGTTCTTGGTAGATAATGGTTGGCTCTAATGGACGTTTGCTGTTACTACCGCATATTAAATGGTGCAGCCCTAGCGACACTCTTATTCGATTCCGATGAAAAAGGACTCAGCTTATATGTACACACAAAAGTATAATCATCTCAAATTTACATCGAGTAAAGCTAACTATACTCTCAATTCTTCTTAACCGGATATAGAAAGTTTGAGTCATTTACTTACGACGTCTATTTCGATTGGCCTTCATGGGTTCATCTCTTTGTATGTGCATGTTTGTGCAGATACACAAAACTGTTTATAGAGGACTCACCAAGTCTTAATTAATTTGTTATATACGACCCAAGAAGAAGCATCGCTTGACTCGCTGAAGCATTGTTTGCTTGAAATTATCCGTTTTTCTGCATAAGGTCAGAACTTATGGCACTAAATAGAACCGAATTCAAGGATATTTGTCGACTCATTTTCTCTTTGAAGCTGGCGCAATCACCTCTTCTGAACCTACTTCCATTTGGAGTGAAAGCGTTTGGTGAAGAGATTCGAAGGTCCATTTCACCAGAAGACGGCGGTGGATTCCTCTTGACCAGCTGTCGATTGGCTTAACTGGAACATTCATGGCGACGCTGTTTCCAAGGCTATCTCGTTCGACTCCAGTGAAAAGGTGACAAGTTTTCGTCCGTCATGTGACGAACGTCATCAGAGCAAGGTATCATCGTAACAACAAAATTCAAGTTAACGAGTCTAGAAAACTTACAGGCAAATTCCTAAAAAGCGCTATATATACTCTACATCTGACCTCTTTGATGAGGTATAAAGTGATTTAGTTAGTTACGCTCATATATCAACTTCGAAGCATGTGAGTGTGTCTATCTCTGTATGTGTATGTGTATGTGCCTGATGACTTTACGTAATTAGGACAGCAAAAGTAAAGTCTATTCTCGACCATCAAGTTTGGATGTCCCCTATCTCGTCCTTTCTACATTTAAGTTAGAACCATCACTCCGATTGCGCAAGATCGGACATTCGTCTGGTTTTGTTGATGAGCCTTTTTTGTTCTTGGGCTTGGTTCGAGAGAGAAATGGTTAGTTAAAATTACACGGATATATAGTTTTTGCGAAACTTATTAATATACTTGCTTACATAAAACGAGTTCTCTAATCGGTAGATTTCAATAGCTTTCGTAACTTTTCGTTTTACACGAGCATACCATACTCGGCAATTTGAGAGAGGTGTATACTATTTTATTTCATGTTCCATTTCAGCAATATGCTCTGCCAATTTTAAACCTTAAACCAAACATCTTTACAAGCATTTTTGCGTTCCGCCAGACCGGTTACTAGACAGGAATACTCCATTCGGTATCAACTTAATGTGGATAAGCGATCATGTTTCTCCCTAAATGTGTGCATAACCAATGCAAGTGCCACAGTTTCTTTAAAAATTGTTTTAATCACACAATTTCTTACCAGTTCGCCTATTCTTATATGAAGAGGACAAGAAGGCAAAGTGAAAAAGGCGACATCGTCTTCATCCCTTG